GTAGGCCCGGGCTGGATTCAAACCTGCCAGCTCTAGTGTATATGGCTGGTGCCTTAGCCACTTGAGCTACAGGCACTGAGCCAAAGTTCAAAGAAACCTACAGAATGGGGAAAATATTTGTAAATCACTTATCTGAAAGCATTTAAAATCCATAATACTTAAAGAATTCCTACAATTCAACAACAAAAGACAAACCATCAAATTAAAATGTGAACAAATAATTTGAATAAATATTTCTCTAAAGAAGATACAAAATGTAGCCTGTAAGCACACAATAAAAGATGCTCAACATCATTAGTTATTAGAGAAATGCAAATCAAAGCCATAATGAGACACCACTTCACACCTAATTGGATGGTTATAATAAAAAAATGGTGCTGCCACTGTGGAAAATGGTGGTTCCTCAAAAAGCTACATAACCCAGAAATTCTACTCCTAAGTATGTGCCCAAAGGAACTGAAAGCAGGGACTCGAATAATGTATCATCACAGCATTATTCACAGTAGCCAAATGGTGGAAACAACCCAAGTGTTAATTGACGAATGAATGGATAAACAAACTGTGGCACACTTATATAATAGGACATTATTTGTCAATGTAAGGGAATAAAGTTCTGATATATGCTACAACATGTAGGAACACTGAAAACATTATGCCAAGAGAAATAAGCCAGACATTGAAAGACAAAATATGATATGATTCTACTAACATGAAGTATCTAGAATGAGCAAATCCATAGAGATAGAAAGTAGATTTAGAGATTACCAGGGACAGGGGGAACAGAAGAATGTGGAGTTACTGCTCTATGGTTTGAGTTTCTGTTTGGGGTGATTAAAAATTTTGAAAATACATAGTGGTGAAGATTACACAATATTGTGAATGTAATTAATGCCACTGAATTATACACTCAAAAGTGGCTAAAGTTTCATAATATATATATTTACCACAACTTACAAAAACTAATGATGTTATATACCAAGCCCATTGAATTATATACTTTAAATGGATGAATTATACAGTTCACAAAATATCTCATTAAACCTATTTTTTAAAAAAATGATAGCTTTTCTTAAATGTTCCTTAAGTTCCCTTCTATTGCTAAATTCTATGGGTTTTTTTAAAGTCTGAAAATAGGTTATATCCAGTGCTAAAAATCTAGGAAATCTGGGGAATATTAATAACGGGGAAGGCTACATAGGCATGAGGGATGGGGTATTTGGCATTGCTGTATCTTCTTTTCAATTTCACTGTGAACCTAAAATTGCTCTTAAAAAATAAAATCTTAATTTAAAAAAAAATCCACGAAGTCTCCAATTATGTTCCAGGACTTGCATTCAGCTAAACATTTCAACAGAATAGAACCTGGCAACACAGTGCTAAATAAGTGAGTGATAATGATCGTTATCTTTATTTTTTGTTCCCCCCAAAAAGCTCTGTAAAACAAGTATAACTAAGGCTACTTTAAATAACGATAAAGATTCAGAGAGGGTAAGTGATTTTCTCCATAAATCTCTCAGGCAGGAACTGGGAGAGCTGAGATCTGAACCCGTGCCAGCCTGGCGCCCGAGCCCAGGCTGACAGCTATAGTACCAGCCATTCAGGTCTGATGACATTTCTACTCACTATGAGTGAAATGGTAGCATTTTATCCGGTACTTTTTCCCATGTGGCCACATGGACAATGCACATCAAAACACTTTGAAAATGGGAAATCCTGTTCAAATGATAGATATTTAGAAAGTTGGCTTTAAAAATTTATGTTTTTGACAACCTCAGCTAAAGTTAAGATCCTACTAAGAGAAATGTTATCACTGTACCTTCTTTTGTGAAGTCAAAGCCTTCAAGACAGTACTCAGAATTCAATAAATAGGTTTTACTATGTAGATGAACAAAGCTTTTAAGTGAATAAGGACAGCAGTGAAGGGCAGGTCAAGGATAGATATTTCAGAAGCAAAATGAATCAAGACTTTGGCTTCGTTAGCTCTGGGCCGTTTAACATGTCATATTATACTTAGCAGGAATGTAGGACAATATTACTTTGATTTTCTGTTGATCCCGCTTAATTTCTGCATCCAGTTGCTTCCTTTTTTCATTTTCTTCTCGAAATCTTTTTTGCAGCTGTACCTTTTGATATTTCATGTGATCTACATTCTGCTCTAGTTCGTTAGCACGCTTCTCATTTTGGATTAACAGTGATGCCAATTTCTTACTATCTTGTTGCTTCTTCTGTAAGACCTGAAATCATATGGAATATTTCAAAATGAAAAAATGAATATCTCATTCATCAACTAAACTTAATCTTTTTGTTCAATAGTAAGACCAGGCATTTTCTCTAGATTTTCATTGATTTTGACAAATTCACAAACAATTGTTTACTCTTCTACATTAATTTTGCAATTAGGGAAATTATAATAATTTCATCGGATATATAAAAAAAAGATAAAGCTTCCTGATGCTAAAAGTCAAACCAAACAAAACGAGCTCTGCTTTTTTATTATTTAGTATGTATTTTAATTTAAAAATATTATATACTTTAAAGCAGGGCACCTGTAGCTCAATGGTTAGAGTGTTGGCCCTGAGCACTGGGCCTGCTAAACAAAAAACAAACAAAAAAATTATATACTTTATGGATACCCTGTATATATGGTAAAAGTTAAAACTGAATTTATATTTTTAAAAATTCACTCTTATCCTAGATCCCTAATCTACTTGACCTGCTCCCCAAGACAAAATTACCAATGTCTTAAATATTTTTCTAGATATAATTTATACAAATAGCTTCATATATATTCTATGCAGTCTACTCTCCCCTTCCCTTTTTTCCTACTTATCTTAGAGGCCTTTTCCTACATATTTGCTCTATGTGACTATACAGTATTCTACTGTGCTCTTGTTTTCTGTACCCTTCAATCATTAATCCCTGAATTAAGATGATCAGAACTGACACCATTTTCCATTATAATCACTCTTTAACATTTAAGTAAAGCTTCTCCTGATCTAACTAAAATTACCTATAACTAACATTAAGAATTTGTTAGCATTTTTTAAATGCGTACACTACTAAATTAGAGAATTACAATTTAATGCTGATCAAAAAATATACATTTTAGACTTATGTTTAGCATGCACCAAGCACCTCTTAGGTGGCATAATAAAGTTGAGGTCATTCATAAATTACGCATATCACAATTCACTATTTCCTTTATTTTGTCAATAAAAGCTTAACCTGAACATGTTTTGTTTTAATTAAACTAAGCACTAAATAGGCATTGCAGCTTATAGCAGTGCTTTTCAAAGTGTGGTCTCTGTACTCGTACTAGTTCATAGGCGGTTGTCAGCCTGTACTGCTAGACGCACTATTAGATTCAGTTGACAATTTCATCCAAGACTTTTTTTGCACTGATTGACCTTTACCTTGTCAAAGACCAAGAACAGACAATCTACAAATGAACTACTCTGAATATTACTGGCTTGGAGGCTGCAATTTCCCATTCCTAAATTGGAACATTGACTTTCCCACTTATCAATCTTGGTAATTTCAATACTTGCAACAAAAATCATAATACCAGCATTTTAGTGCCTCTTTCATGTAATATTGAAAATATCAGTGTACATCCTGATAATTTTATTTAAAAGTGAGATGTGGTTGGCATTGCTTTTTGTAATTATTCCACAGATAGAAAAGTGCATCTTTCTTATCATTAAACTATTAATGCAGCTTATAACTCTGTGTAAATCTAAAGACATAAAAAATGCAGAATTTAGGCATTTTAAATTTTTAAAAGTTTTAAAAATGGAAGTAATTGTGTTACACCAGTAAAAGTGCTAGTATTTCATTATTATTTTTTTGAGACAGAGCCTCAAGCTGTCCCCCTGGGTAGAGTGCTGTGGCATCACAGCTCACAACAATCTCCAACTCCTGGGCTTAAGCAAGTCTCCTGCCTCAGCCT